GAGTACAACTTTGGCTGTTCAGATTTTGAGACGAAGAGAAACATTTGAAAAAGAGTTATCGTGATGCTTTGAGCGAAGTAATTAAGTTTTTCGTACAATGTAAGACAAAGTTTCTGTTGAAATTAAATGAAAACTTCGAGAAAAAGTCATAACATAAGAAATACTTTAAAGTTTAACTCGTTGGCATTTGGCAGTAGATTGAACAAACTCTGCAGATTTTACTCTGATTAAAACTAACATATAAGAAACTTAATATCGTTTTCAAACATGGGGTTGGCAGAAGCTGACGCATAACCATAATGTTGTAGTACGTATAATGTATTGTGAAAATTATGTAGAACTCAAAATATTAGCAAAGTCTTAACTTTATTCAACTTTGAACTTACATAATTCTAAAATTAACTAAAAGGCGTTATGTTCAGTTATGATTATATCATAAGATACGAGTAACTTCGTTTATGATTACGTAAACAACATTTTGGTGTACAGTCGTAATAGCTACCTACTTGGGTTCCCCCAAACGGGTGAGTCATTACAATCCTTAAATCACAAAGATTTATTAAAGGAAATCCGAACGAATGGAGTTTATCTCAATACCTACTTGTTTGACTGTCATCTGATGTGAAAGCAATTTCGGAATCCGCGGGCTTAATTAGCTGATTCCACGAAACATCTGCGGTACAAACGCAAACGAAATTGAACAGCAGGCTCGATACTATTTTACAACCTCAAACAAAAATAAATGAGTTTTGAGTTTTACTGGATGCAGGCCGCTACCAACCGTGCGATGTGGAAGTCATTGGGGGAGGCCTATGTTCAGCAGTGGACGTCCTGTGGCTGAAATGATGATGATGATGATGAGTTTTACTTTTACCACAGAATAATAATAAGTACTACGTACAGAAGTTTTACTTCGCGAAGGTATTTAAGAAATTATTTGCTCAATGTCATTAATAATATGGTGTAATTTAGCCTGAAGAAATTAATATAGGTAACTCTTTTTATAGTAAAACTAGCCTTCCGCCCGCGGCTTCGCCCGCGTGTAGTTAATTTTGTCTTTCACAAAAAAATCTGTCCTTTCCCGGGACTCGAACTATCTCTATGCAAATTTCATCAAAATCGGTTCAGTGGTTTAGGCGTGAAAGCGAGACAGACAGACAGTCAGACTTTCACACTCGTACTTTCACATTTATAATATTAGTATAGATTTAACGAAGAATTCCAAAGAGACACACATGAGTACAACTTTGGCTGTTCAGATTTTGAGACGAAGAGAAACATTTGAAAAAGAGTTATCGTGATGCTTTGAGCGAAGTAATTAAGTTTTTCGTACAATGTAAGACAAAGTTTCTGTTGAAATTAAATGAAAACTTCGAGAAAAAGTCATAACATAAGAAATACTTTAAAGTTTAACTCGTTGGCATTTGGCAGTAGATTGAACAAACTCTGCAGATTTTACTCTGATTAAAACTAACATATAAGAAACTTAATATCGTTTTCAAACATGGGGTTGGCAGAAGCTGACGCATAACCACAATTAGAGTCGTTATATTTTACCCTAAGGCATTTACAACCCCTGCGCTAACATAAAAGAAACTTTAACTTTTCCACCTTCGAATAACCGAAAAATGGCCGATACATCACTAGCGGCCCGCGACGCGTGACCGAACAAAGCTAATGATGTCGACACTGCGGGCCATGATTAATGACGGTCGTGCAAAGCATCGATTGGAGCTACACTAATAAGAGTATCGATAAATTCGTCGAATAAAAAAATTATAATTTATACTTTCTATCATCCATTGAAAAATCACCATACAATTTTAAGTAAGCTATCTCTCCAACGATCGATTAATTACCCTACTAAAGAGTTACAAAATATTCTGTTAGGGTGACAATTCCATATCGCTTCTTCCCATCGACCTCTAATGTTAAATATCACAGTAATCACTCCATGCCTTATTGCTATTAATATGCCAGAAATACTCTTGCCATCATAAATGCCATAGATACTAACGCTTACCGATTTCATTAAGTTATTATCGACATCCTCCACCCACACACAGGCAACATCTCTAAATAACATGGTCCCGTTTAATTCTAGTTATTGCCGTAAATGTAATCACTTGGCTGAAAGGGCGCCACCGTCGCATACGAAACAATGGCCGTTTCGGATAATATCCGATTGAGATTTCGCGTCATTAATCTTGTGAATTTGCAACTTTGGAGATTTTTGCGGTGGAAACGACTTTTTGGAACTGATGAGGTTGAAATACAATTGAATTGACTAAACGGTGTGTTGGTGACATGGTCGTGATGTCGCGACTTTAATCTGTTGTTTGAAAGAAAGAAAGTTATTTATTATTCAGAACATGTTATTTAATGCGAAGATTACACAAGGTAAATAGGGAAAAAACATGTTGTAGTACGTAATAATGTATTGTGAAAATTATGTACCTAGAACTCAAAATATTAGCAAAGTCTTAACTTTATTCAATTTTGAACTTACATAATTCTAAAATTAACCAAATGGCGCTATGTTGAATTATGATTATATCATAAGATAACTTCGTTTATGATTACGTAAACAACATTTTGGTGTACAGTCGTAATAGCTACCTACTTGGGTTCCCCCAAACGGGTGAGTCATTACAATCCTTAAATCACAAAGATTTATTAAAGGAAATCCGAACGAATGGAGTTTATCTCAATACCTACTTGTTTGACTGTCATCTGATGTGAAAGCAATTTCGCAATCCGCGGGCTTAATTAGACGATTCCACGAAACATCTGCGGTACAAACGCAAACGAAATTGAACAGCAGGCTCGATACGATTTTACAACCTCAACCTCAACAAAAATGTAATATTGTTCCCATTTGATTAAAAAGTATCGGGTACGGCCAAGCCCTTGATTTTAATTACGAGCTCATTTTAAGTAGGGCAATGCAATCAATAAAAACTTAGTACATTTTTTTATATAAAAGTAAAACTACATTTTTTATACATTTTTATATGTAAAAGTAAAAGTGCTTTTTTTAAGCCTATTTACAGAAATAAAGTTTTACTTTTACCTACCTAACTACAACAAATAAAAACTCTTCGGGCATCTTTCTAAAGAAAATATTTTGGTTCTTTCTTTTTCTCTAGATAAGGCAAAGACACAATGCCATACAGCCTAGTTAAAAAATCCCAGGATATTTTTTTCCACAATTCACAGTTTCAATATTGACACTCAGCATATTCATCCACAAATAAATAATCCATAAAATTCACTTTGTAACGTTTAAAATGTTTGCATTATCCCGACTGTGGATGCACGGCGAAATATAAATTAAATTTACTAAATTAACTGCTCAGACAGGGAAGTGGCTGACGCAGATCGCTCGTCCGTAAATTATTATTTACGTGGAACAAACCTTCCGCGAACCCTTCAATCGCAAACATTTTAATTAAAAGCCTTTGAATAAATAAACACGTTTCCATTATCTGAACGGAACAAGTAAATACTCCTCTATTTGCAAAAGCATAAAAACTTTTTGGTGGCGCAGCCGTAAACAGTTTTTAAAAAGTTTCAATTTGACATAATCAAATGTTGGCGCCTTTTTGCTTTGCTTGTCACAATATTTTTGTACAATTTTTATAAAAATCCATATTGTTATCTTTTAGGAAATGGTAAAATTGATGCTTGAATAATACAAGTCAAAAGGTAACTGCATTATAGTCAAATCTCTGAACTGTATACATAATTAATGTTTGCTATGCACTTGCATTATACGAAAACAAGTAAGCAATAAACAAAACCAAAGGGTGAAGTACCTACTACGATTGATTTTTGTATCATAAAAGCAAATTGCACGCAACCAATTAAGAGGAAACCAGGTAGGTACACACAGGGAGCAAACAGTCGGTGTTAATTTCATGAATTTTCCATCATTCAATATGCAACATCCACAAATGTAATAAAGTGTTTAATTCAGACACCAACGCACTTTCATAATCCATTTACCCTTTTGATACCAATATAACATTACACCTGCGGCGAAGGAAGCGCGTTTCGCGCGCGTATAAAGTTACTCTGGTGTTGTAGTTCGTTAAAATGCTGAAAATTCACGGTTTTATTTGAACGTTTGCGCTTTTTAACTGAAGCGCGATAAAAGTGGACAAAGCCGTTGCTAAAATTAAACGCACGGAGCCAGGCCTATTGAAACGTCACCCCTTTGGCGCCGTATCAACCGCGTGTTGTTGCAGACAGACGGACGGACAAACACGCCGTATTGTGTCTCGCCCCCATTTGATGACTAATGAAAACTTCACCTGCCGCTCCACTGCCTGCCTAAAACCCTTAACGGCATAGACATATAAGACTCTTTCCCTTGTTTCGCTGGAAAAAAGCGGGCGCGTCATCACAACTTTTCGAAGACCTCTGACTCGGAACGCTGTATTTTGGAACAGTACAATTTGGCTTGATGGTTAGAGAGGGCACGGGTCAATTTATTTTGGTTTGTTTATTTTTCGTAGTGACTGTGGGCGGTCGCTTAATTAAGAGTGCGAATGATAGGCCCTTCCATGGTTTTTTGTGCGAAGCGCTTTCCTGTGCGGCTGACGCGGGGTGACGCTATATAAATAGTAATAAACAAGAAAAAAATTGTTTGCCACTTTTATGCTGTCAAGCACATTCTGTTTTTCTAGACTAATGAGGCGTTTATTAATGAAGAAGTACCTATTTGTAAACAAACTTTTTCGACTGGAAAATCAGCAATCAAAATTATACTGACTTAGAGGGCTTTCACAATTAGGCGATTTAGCAGCGCGACAAACGCGCGACAGACGCGGTGCCGAAAATTTCATACTATGTGACAGCAGATGCATGCCTTCACATTATAAAAACGCCGCTGCCGCGCTGCAGTCGCGCTACAAACGCCCTAATGTGAAAGCGCTCTTAATTATTCGCTTCTGCCTAAAGCCTAGCCAATCGTCAGCAAGTATCGGTTGTTCCAGGCGTCAGCAGCGCACTACCAGAGCCAGCTATCAGTGCTGAGCGCTGAGAACGAGCGCTTGCGCGGCCAACTGTCATCACTGTCAGCGGGGCTCGAGGGCGAACATGAAAGGAAGCTGGATGACGTCGCGCAGCAGGTCGTCAGGGCGCTGCTGTCACAGAAGGTACGGTGAAGCACAAACTACCAGTAAAAAACATTAGTAACTAAGGCTGAGTTGCACCAATGTACTTTAATCGTAACTTTAACAATAACCGCGTTTTTTGTATGGAGTTTGACAGATTTTTGACGTTTGTTAAAGTAAGATAGTGCAACTCAGCCTAAAGCTTGTGTGATTAGCTGTTATTATTATCTAAAATCTAAAGGACTGGACGGCGAACACCACTGCAAAGGTGACGATGTCGATCAAGATATAGAAGGTCTGTCGCCACTCAACGCTTTTGCTTGCAATCACCATTACACATCAGTTTTTACAAAAAAATGTTCAATGATCAGTTAGATAGATAAGCAGCATGGTAAAATAGAAATCCATAAAATAATACTCCTGTATGAATATAAATATGAATGCATTTCGACATACGCACCAATAAATAAAGCCAAGTCATAAAACCGAGCAAAAACACGCCTATAACTCATTAATATAACGAAAAATAAACATTTTCCGTTTCCTCTTACGAATTTCGGGCGTGTCAAACGGCTAAATCCGTCGAAAAATATTCGTATCTCTTAATCCAGCCGGCATTAAGATGCATCCAGGAAATTGTTTTCTCATAATTATACGCGTCCCGTATCCCGCGGCCTGGATTATGCGGTGGGACATTCGCACATAAATCGCGCAAAATGGGACACTTCGGCGTTAGCCCGCACCGTAATAACTCCTACGGAACCCTGGACCACTATAATCTGGAGTAATCTCGCCGATAATGCGACCGTTTGCGTTTAAATCTAGTAGCCGCCATGTTGTTTCGGCTTTGGCGCCAACTTTGCGAGTAAAGTTTGCGCGGTGTGGAAATGACGAGTGTTTGAACAATAAGAGAAATGATCGCGCTGAAAGCATGAAACTAAAGTGTTTTCATGCAGAGTACCTGGCTGGCAAAACTTTAAACTACCTAGCCGCTATAGTGGCATACAATTTTCGTCTCTACCTAATGTTTTACTAATTATAATGTTCTATAGATTATAAGATGGCTAAGTTATCCTACTAATTATATTAACTACCCATCTGTTCATAACTATCCAAAATTCTCCCATGATCCTATCAACATGAATATAATTATGGCACATCAATTACATACATCCATGATGTAATAATCTGCCGCCTCAGAGGCGCCCTCTCTAATTACCGATAGATAATTCTCGGCAAACACTTGGCTCCGAATGCAAGACGTAGGGCACATCCATCAAGCGTAATGCGTCGGATGACGCTAATAGCGTTAAAATAATGTCAGTGCTTTATTCTGGATGAACAGGTTCAGATGCGATGATGTACGTCGAGTTAATTTGACGATATCTTACGTAATATCGATAAATAATCTCGTGGCGTCTTTTGCATATGATGGTTAATCCTGATGGTACGAAGTGTTAGGAACCACATTATACCATCCTTAGTAAGAACAAAAAACATTCTAAGGATCAATGAAACTAATTAAAAAACTAATTAAATTATGCACATGATTTTCGTGTAAGTTATTACCTTTTCAATAAAAAAAACACTCTGTACATTAACATAGGCACTCTATTTTCTTACTTATTCAAGTTAATATTAAGTGGCACTTAGCATCATAAACATAATACATTTATGATCCATCGCTACCGTCATTAAAGCGCTACTTAAACTGCCCAACTTTAGTAAATATTTGAAAATTATGCGAACTCCATTAACTTTGTTTACTCATAATTAAATTTGAAACTCGGACGTCTCAGTTCCAAAACCATTTAATAAACGTCGCGAGATCTACCCGGGATTCCGGCCGCGTCTTCGAGTTGGCAACACCAAAGCAATGCTTGCCAGTATCTCCCATCTCCCCTAGTAATTACCCCCGTCAATTACCTTACTCGAATTTAATTTAACTAATGAAGCATAATTAAAATATACGCGTTTATTTCTAAGACAACTGACGGAGGGATGGAATAGGGTAACTTTTTACGGTGATGTTGCTCTCGTGCATCTAAATTGTAATTAATTGTGTTAAAACTTAAAGGTTTGAACGGTAGAGACACGCCGTAATGATATTTGAAGACACCTGCGTGCCGACGTTAGCCCATTGAATTAAATAGTAGGCTTATCGATTTTATACCGCTTGGCAAAACCCACATACGGCGAAACTCGTACAAAGTTGTCAACCATATTTTCGTTCCTATGAGTAAGTTTAGTGAGTAGCAATCAAGCTGACCTACTTGTAACTAACTTTGTAGCTCAAAAATAAGTGATTTCTTTCAAAGTGAGACCAGAATTGAGAACATAATATTTCTGAATCTTTTCTGCCCGTAATATTATTTTGTAATTTACGCAACAGCAGCTTCTTCACCTACATTGGATTGCATGGTCTATGACCCTCTTAAAAGTCATCTCGTCACCCCCAAAGCACGACATTTATCTAATTCAATCAAAAGCCAAATTATTAACCTTATTCATTCGAATTGAAGAATCGTATTCTCTTTTTCCAGAGCATTCGCGAAGAGTTGGGATGCGCCCGCGCACGCGTCCGCGAGCTCGAGGCCCAGAACCGAGCCTTGAGCGCGCTTCTGGTGCGGCAGTTGCGGCCCCAGCCGCGGCCTTCACCTGCCACTCCTCACACGCCCATCACGCCACATACGCCGAGGGATCTGCAAGGTACTGTACTGGGTAATCTATAGGGGATTGAATAAAGCATCTTGTAGAGCGAGGCCCAGAACGCAGCCTTGAGTGAGCTATACTGGTGTGGCAGTTATGGACTTACAGCCCTGCCGCGGCCCTCACCTACCACTCCTCACACGGCGTAAGCCGTCGAGCCTTGAACGCGCTACTGGTGTGAAAGCTATGGCCCTCACGCATCATAATTAAAAACACAACGGGGAAGCTCTTGGTAGGCCAAGAGATGCAGCCATCTCACCTGATGGAAAATGACGATCACAGAAGCTCTGCTGTACTACCCTAGTACAGAAATCGCGACGATCGACAACGATCTCACGAAATAAGTCTGCAAAAAATTTCGAAACAGAATTGAATTTTTCGCCCAAAGGCGACTGCGTAGCGATACGTTTCCACGCAATTGAACAGTCAATTTGTATGGAAGCGTCTCAGTTATAGCTTCATGACACCACACAGCATTAAAGTCCAGACTTCCTACATCATCATCATCATCATCTAGCCATAGGACGTCCACTGCTGAACATAGGCCTCCCTCCCCCAATGCTTTCCATGTTACCCGGTTGGTAGCGGCAAGCGTCCAGCGCTTTCCTGCTACCTTTATGATGTCGTCGTCGACTTCCTACATACCACCAATATATTGACGTACTTTTTAAAACTGTCAAAACGAAACTCTCCCATAAATTTTGTATGCCACTACAAGCAAGTGACGTCACTATTTTGTCAACTCAAATAAAATACTTTTTTCAATTACAATGCGACCAAAAATCGTAATTTACAGGTAATTTAAAATTAATTAAGTTTTTAAGACCAGAATGAAGTGTCTTTTCAACCGACTTCAAAAAAAGGAGGAGGTTCTCAATTCGACCCGTATGTTTTTTTTTTCTATGTTTGTTACGCGATAACTCCGCCAATTATGAACCGATTTGAACAAATCTTTTTTCGGCGTATAGGTAATACCTCAAGGGTGGTCCCATTTAAATTTAATAATAAAAAAACAACCCCCAAGGGTGGATAATTGGGGATGAACTTTTTTATACGCAATATCTCCGCCGATTATGAACCAATTTGAACGATTATTTTTTTGTTGAATAGGTATTATCAAAAGGGTGGTTTCATGCGAATTTGAAGAAAATATTTCACCCCCAAGGGTGGAAAATTGGGGATGAACTTTTTTATACGCAATATCTCCGCCGATTATGAACCAATTTGAACGATTATTTTTTTGTTGAATAGGTATTATTTGTGTTCACGCATTTGAAGTCGGTTTCATTTTTTTTAAAAAGTTATTAGAAAAGTTGTGATTTCAAATTATTGGAGAATGGTGTCAAATTGTCCATTGTTCTCCATTGCAGTGCACCTAGTAGACGTGGGCTCCTGCGGGTCGCTGGTCTCGTTTCGGGACTCGCCGCCGCCGGCGCCGCCCGCGCCGCATCCGCATCCGCTCAGCCACGACGACAAGCGCCGCCACCAGATACTGGCCGATATCTGGACGGAGCTCAAGGTAAGAAAAGCGAAACATTATTAACGAGAGTCAAGGTAAAACACATAGCCAAAAATATGCAGAGATCTCTGGTTGAACCTAAAGAACAAAACTCTGATGACAGCGACTTTTGCTAGCTTATTGTCTTCTCAAAAAATATCAAGCAATTGAGTTAGGCAAACTCTGATGACAGCGATTTTTGCTAGCTTATTGTCTTCTCAAAAAATATCAAGCAATTGTGTTAGACAACTAAAGTCAATACAACTGAGATTTTGTCCCCATCACTATCATTTCAGTCAGTTAAAACAATTTACTGATAAGTGAAGGTATACCTTCCCACTTTTTTTAAACCGACTTCAAAAATGATCTATGTTCCACTGCTGTACCTATCTATTTTTTCATCCAGCTTTTCATCGAGGGTTCGTCACTTCATCAATCTGTATAGCGTTTTACACTGTATTTTCCGATATGTAATATCCGCTTAAGAACTTTTATTATCCCGCCTTTCCTCGTTTCTTTAACACCATCACCACGAAGGAGAAAAACGGTTGGAAAATCAAAGACTGGAAGGTTCCTACTCTTCATTAGCAACACTCTTATTATACTTTTCTGTTCCCTTCTGCAACACTTAATTCCTTGTAACAGGAGCTGGAAGTGACGGCAGCGAACCTGGTGCGCCTTTATTATTCATTCTACGACGCAAAACTTATTAAAAACAAAAACAAAGACCAAAAGATTTTGGAGGTAACTCCGGCGAACCTGGCGCGCTCCTTTATCATTGATTCTACGACGCAAAACTTATTAAAAACAAAAACAAAGACCAAAAAGGTACTCTGCAACGTGTGCAACGTTTCATTATTTGTAACAGGGTCTGGAGGTAACTCCGGCAAATCTGGCGCGCTCTTTTATCATTGATTCTACGATACAAATACTAATTGAAAACAAAAACAAAGACAAAAAAGATCCTCTGCAACGTATGCATTCATTCTTTGTAACAGGGTCTGGAGGTAACTCCGGCAAATCTGGCGCGCTCTTTTATCATTGATTCTACGATACAAATACTTATTGAAAACAAAAACAAAGACCAAAAAGGTACTCTGCAACTTGTGCAACGTTTCATTCTTCGTGGCAGGGTCTGGAGGTAACTCCGGCAAATCTGGCGCGCTCTTTTATCATAGATTCTACGACGGAAAACTTATTAAAAACAAAAACAAAGACCAAAAAGGTACTCTGCAACGTGTGCAACGTTTCATTCTTTGTGGCAGGGTCTGGAGGTAACTCCGGCAAATCTGGCGCGCTCTTTTATTTATCATTGATTCTACGATACAAATACTAATTGAAAACAAAAACAAAGAACAAAAAGTACTTAGCAACGTGAGCAACGTTTCATTCTGTGTGGCAGGGGCTGGAAGTAACTCCGGCCAACCTGGCGCGCGCACTGTCAGCGGTGGACCCGACGCTGTGGGCGCCGCCCGCGCGTCCCGCTACCCTCAGTCTCAGCATGCCGCAGCCCTGCACCGACGCTGTGTGCGGTGAGTCTTCTGATGTCTTCAGTCTTCAAATGCATTATCTTTAAAGGTTCTCCAATAGGGATGTTTCCTGGGTAAAAAAGCAAGATGAGGCCCGTGACGTCAAGGAGTACTTAAAAGTATAGCACTTTGTGACGTCACGCGGAACTTAAACGCACCATAACTTCGTAATTTCTTGTTTGATTGATAAATAAAAATATACGTGTCCAATATTTGTTGATAACTTCATCATCTTCAAAGGTAGTCCACATCTACAGGCTTTTAATAACATCATCTTTAAAGGTCGTCAAAATTAATTTTGAGAAAGAGCCTGTAATAATACTGATTCCATTTTATTGGACTGAATCTTTATAAGGCTCTAGTTACATGCCAATGAGGGTTTTCGCGATTTAAAAATCCGCCAGATGGCAATACGTAGACGCAAGGTCCAAATGCTGCATGATTGGTTATTTTTGACATGACATTGACAGATATGTCAAAATCCACCAATCACGCAGCATTTGGACCTCGCGTCTACGTATTGCCATCTGGCGGATTTTTCAATCGCGAAAACCCTCATTACACATTACTTTACTGAAAATCCGTTGACTAAACGTTACCCAAAATTCTTTATCAGTAACTGCACAAATTATAGTTTCATCGCAACCGCTAACCATTCCAGGTACGGAGGAGAAAGTGACAGAAGAAGAAAATGGCGAGGTGGGCGAGGCAGGAGCAGAATCCCCTGAGAGCGGCGCCAAAGACGAAGGCTACTCCACCATGTCCAGCGACGTGCAGGCCGACGCCTCGCGCCAGAGCGACCACGCTGCCGACCGAGCCCTACCTGACCTTAACGAAGCCTCCGACGAAACAGACAACCAGACCATCGTCTCCATAAACCCCAGGGAATCCAGGCGACACGCCAGGCTACTAGCTGAAGCGGACTACATCTACTTCCCCATAGGAGTCGCCTTCGCAGGAGTCAGAGGCAGCTACCCACCCTCAAGACCGGTTCTTCCCTTCCAGCATGTGGTCAGAAGCTTCTCCGACTCCCACCTCTGTCTCAAGCTCCTAGCCAGCACCACGTGTCCGACCAGCTGCCTCGACAGCCCCACCCCCAGTTCTGGGGTCCTTGTGTTAGATCTGAAGCCTGCTCCCGAAAGACCTCTGAGAAGACCCGCGATCGCTTCTACCACGAGCTCCGAACGAGTCTCGTGGGGAAGCACCGTCGATGACAGAGCAGACGGCTCTCAATACGACGCCGATTACGTCCAGCATTGGCTGGAACTAGACGACGCCAGATCAGCGCTGCAGCAACGACATAGAGATTTAGCGGATCTAGAATATGACCGAGCCGAATTAGAAGATTGGAGCTTATCGCTATCGTGCGAGGATCTCAGAGACAGACAGTCTCCTTTCGCTGAAATAACGACCCCCGGTCAGATTTCGCTGTCGACGTTGCCCAGCATCAGAGAGGATGATGCTTTAGAATTGGAAGAGGACGTCGGCGACTGCTTGTGGAATGATTGTGGATTTGCCACTATAGAAATTGATGAGTGCAGAATCGCTGACGATACGGATACGACTGATAAGAGATGGGAATGTACTGGAACGCATTCCCCTGGCGGTTCGTGGTCGAGCACTTCGGATGTGCCAGATAAAAGATCCAGTACCGCACTGAGTGAGGACGGTGACTGCGCAAACGTGGGTCTCGATTTCACCCGGGATTTTTACCGTCTAGTGAAGTACGAAAGTACTAAAAGCTTAGCATCGAATTCCTCGAGAGGCTTGCCCGCGCAAGACGTTGGCAGTCACTTGCGAATGCACGACGTGCAAGCAATGGCGTTGCAGGATCGCGAGCAGGCGCTACAAAACGTGCTCAATTTTATAGCGGAACAGCAAAAGTACTGCCGCGATAGGGAAGAGTCAGACTCTGTGTCTTCGCGGCCCGTATCCGAGATACGAGAACTTCCACCACCTTATGCAGCAGCAGACTTCGACGATGACTCAGTCGGTCCTCGCAGTGAGGTCTCAGAGGACAGGCAGAGGCCTGACTCCTTCGGAAGTTTCTCAGAGAACGACTCCTGCGATTTGTTATCGAACGATCGCCCAAGAATCCCTTACTGTGATACCGTGTCTGAACCGCGATCGACGCCGCGGTTCATCGAGCGCGAGGACCCATACGCGGAGTCCGAAGACTACTACGACGAGTTCTCGCGAATAGAAAACGCCGAAAACGAAATAGACGATCACCACCTCCTGAAAGTCCAGCGGAAGAACGAAATAAATAGGAGCATCGATATAACTAATTCTGGCGACGAGGAGCCGGCTTTAGCGCAGTCGAAGGACGACAGGGGTGATATGGAATCTAGTCGAAGTTTGGACTTTTCGGCGTTGAAGGAGAACACTGTTAATATAATGTTGAATAAGGCTCCGGTCCAAGAAAGAGTGGAATTGGACAGTTGTTTGAGCAAGTCTTCGAGCTTCACCTTCCCTAGTGGAGAACCGGAGATATCTCTCGTGGAGGAGGTCCTGAATGCTTGCAGACGCAGCACGGGAGCCTTAGTTACCGTCCCAGAGGAAGAAGAGGGATCGTCCCCCGAAACAAACTCCCCCCAAATGACTGAATCGAATACGACAAGCACTTCTACAGCTGAAACTGTGATAGTAAGTAATAAGAGTGAGGTGACTTTTAAGGATTTGAAGAGGAGTGACAAGAGTCGGATTCCCACGTTGATGGGGAAAAGGCCTCCTTCGTCCCCGAACAGGACGAGGTCTAAGATACCCGTAGCGGAGAGAAGTCGGCCTCCCGCGCCGCCGCCTGAACCGATCATAGTGAAACAAGAGCACACGCTGAGCTTCCACGAGGCGGCCACTTCGAAGGATGTCATCGAGGAGCTCAACAGGTAATTTGTTGCTTTAATTATTATTTTTGTCTTTGGACACTAACTCAATTTTTTGAGAGTATTTGGCAAGAAAAATATCTGCTTAAGTGTACCCACAGCAACGGGGAGTTTTTTTTTAAATATGAAGAAGTTGCTAGTCTTCAAAAGTTTTACTGTTGCAGAGGTATGACCTCCTCAATTCCTCCTCCTTATGTTTGCACCGGTCTTTTTGGGACACCCTTTTTTTTCTTTTTTTTTCGGTGGTAAAAATGCATTGAGCTGCATACCCGCCACTGTGGTCAGGCGGCGGGTTATGTGTCTCTCCTCTCTCTCTCTCTCTCTCCTCTCCAGAAGGGAGGGGCCTACCCACTAAAAATCCACCATCATCTGACTGACTATCGATATACCTAGCTATTTTCTGGACATTATATCGATCGATAGTGTTTCACTCCATCGACAATAGTATCACGGTTTTAGCTATCGATACTACCGATTGGGTATCAATTTTCAATCGATAGTCCACTATAAATTAACAGCAAACCCTGGTATTTCCAGAATGATCCGCCAGAGCGAGGCTACGGGCGAATCACGCGAGGAGCCGCCGACGCAGCGTGACGCAGCGCTATGGGCGCCCACCGGCTGGGTGCACGTCGAGCGTGACATCGACTTCAGCGACCCCAAGGTGAGCAGCTGCTGCAGTGACGTCACAGCAGGCTGCTGCAGTGACGTCACAGCAAGCGCCGCGCTGTGGGCGCCCACCGGCTGGGTGCACGTCGAGCGTGACATCGACTTCAGCGACCCCAAGGTGAGCAGCTGCTGCAGTGACGTCACAGCAGGCTGCTGCAGTGACGTCACAGCAAGCGACGCCGCGCTGTGGGCGCCCACCGGCTGGGTGCACGTCGAGCGTGACATCGACTTCAGCGACCCCAAGGAGAGCAGCTGCTGCAGTGACGTCACGAGGCGCATAACAACAGGATATTATTCCAACAGGCAATAGTAATAAGACCACCCCCACTCTTCCCGAGGATGTTGTAAAAGGCCACTACAAATATACGAACATCAGACAACCTCGATCAGTCTAGCCAGCATAAGAGGCGTAAGTCAAATCCTCCTCTCGCCTTGGGTAAACTAAATCCAGCAATGGAGACTAATTGACCTGATTAATGACGGTCCAGCGGGTTGGCGATCGACCGCGTGCTCTCTTGCCTTCCACCCTGCCCTGAACTACCAGTCTCTCCATCGAGTTCTCATTTCTAGAGTCGTGACCAAAGAACTTCGGTATTCGTAGTTGCACAGTTGACGATAGTATGTCTTTAACACGAAGCTCTAAAGAACAGTAGCACCAGAGTAAATACAAATGAGTAGGTCATCTTCATAGAAACGCACGGGCGCGGTTTGTATGTGAGCGCGCCAACACGTATGCGGCGCCCATGCACACACAGACAAAATTTTGCGTGGATTAGAGTGGAGCCAGTCGTGGTTGCGCCGAATTTTGTCAGTGTGTGCGTGCGCGCTGCATACGTATATTGGCGCGCTCACATACAAACTGCGCTCGGTGCGTTTCAGGTTTCAGGTTTAAGAATTTATTTCTCAAAACAAATTGTACATTTCACTAAAAATGAGAAACAAGGTATTTTAATTATTTACAAAATAAATGTAGGTAGATCTTAAACTAAGGGCGCACGGATTAAATTGTTCACCAAACACAAGACATTCGTCGGTAGACGTGAAAAAACAAGACGTTATTAAGTATCACTTTTTGACTCAGGTGTAGAAGGCGATCACTTGCCATCAAGACCTTTATGCGAACCTTTGAGGATGTGGAACTTTAATATCTTTTTGAAAAACGGAAAAGACTGAATTTCTTTATGTTTTTGGGTAGCTTATTATATTGCTGAGCTCCGTCATATAATATACAGTGTGTCCGGGCATGTAGTGATCAAACTTTATGAGCGTAATCTATGGACAATTTTATCGATGAAAATACTTCAAATTTGGGGCCTGACCCATTTCTCGCAAAATTACAAGGATTTGAGTTTTGAATTTTAAGTTTTCACCTCTTCCTTCAAAAACAAGTGATAGCGTGGGTAGCTTATCACTAATAAGCAAAAATTTTATATCATGCGATAGCCAATAAAATTATCTATTAGCAGAAGTAGAAAACAGATACAAGTTTCATACATTTTAAGGGAGTAAGAATGGATTTAATTAGAAAAAAGCATGACTTTTTTCACTTCTTTTTCAGTTATTTTCCAACACAAGAAAAACCAGGTCGTTAAGGTATGTTTTATTTGCATTGTATTATTAGTATTTGAGCTATTCTACAAAACGAATGTAAATTTATTAGTCTACGTCTATTAGTTTTGACGTAATTGTTGAACAAAGATACCTCTTCCCAGCAGTTTCCATAGTAATCGAAATAGGTTGTGTGATTCTTTCAGGCAGTGCATTTTCGCATGTCGCGTGCGCTATGGAAACCGCTGGGAAGGGGTATCTTTGTTCAACAATTACGTCAAAAGTAATAGACGTAGACTAATAAATTTACATTCGTTATGTAGAATAGCTGAAATACTAATAATACAATGCAAATAAAACATACCTTAACGACCTGGTTTTTCTAGTGTTGGAAAAAAACTGAAAAAGAAGTGAAAAAAGTCATGTTTTTTTCTAATTAATTCCATTCTTACTTCCATAAAATGTATGAAACTTGTTTCTGTTTTCTACTTCTACTAATAGATAATTTTATTGGCTATCGCATGATATAAAATATTTGCTTATTAATGTTAAGCTACCCACGCTTTCACTTGTTTTTGAAAGAAGAGGTGAAAACTAAAAATTAAAAACTTAAATCCTTATAATTTTTCGATTAATGGGTTAAGCCCCAAATTTGAAGTATTTTTATCGATAAAATTGTCCCTAGATTTCGCCCTTAAAGTTTGATCACTACATGCCCGGACACACTGTATATTTTTTACCATAACGTTTCTATGAAGATGACCTACTCATTTGTATTTACTCTGGTAGCACCTACTACAATACAAATTCGTCACCACCAGGCGCGCGCGAACGTCCTCGACGTGATACTATTGAGACCAACCATTGCTGCTGGTTTCCATAGTAGTGGTCTCCTCAGTAGCACCTACATCACACACACATCATCTCACCCGAACATTCGTCGCAGGCGCGCGCGAACCTCCTCGATGTGATGCTGGCGTCGAGCGACTCTATTATTGCTGCTGGTGTCCATAGTAGTCTCATAAGTAGCACCTTCGTCACACAAACGTCATCTCACCCGAACATCCGTCGCAGGCGCGCGCGAACCTCCTCGACGTGATACTATTGAGACCAACCATTGCTGCTGGTTTCCTCCTTCTCAGTAGCACCTTCGTCACACAAACGTCATCTCACCCGAACATTCGTCGCAGGCGCGCGCGAACCTTCTCGACGTAATGCTGGCGTCGAGCGATTCTATTATTGCTGCTGTTGACTTTTTTATATTTTTATATTTTTAAACCGGCAGACAGTGGTGACTGAGTTTGTTGCGGCGCTTCTTCTCAGCACTTGCCAAATGTTTGTCTCGAAGCGCTGGTAGGGCAAAAAAAGAATGAGACATGTATAGGCTCCTTAAGAGCATTTGACGATTTGCAAGTTCTAATTTAATTAGTCTAAACAAAATTTTGATTTTGATTTTTGATTTTGTTGTCCATAGTAGTCTCATAAGTAGCACCTTCGTCACACAAACGTCATCTCACCCGAACATTCGTCGCAGGCGCGCGCGAACCTCCTCGACGTGATGCTAGCGTCGAGCGACTCGTCACCGTCGTCGTGCGGCTCGTCGCCGGCCGAGCCGCCGCCGCCGCCGCCCTACTCGCGTCTGCACCGCCTGCACCGCTCGCGGAGGCAGAAGACCGGTGAGCATGACACACAGCGAGGCCTAACCTGAGCTTTGCACTTGTCTGAGTGTTCACCAAAATTAGTCACACAAAAAACTTTTAAAATTGAATTGAACACAAAAAGAAAATACTAAGAATTTAACCGCCTCTATGGTCTAATGGTAAGACCACCTGCTTCAGACGCAGAGGTTCAGGGTTCGATTCCCAATGGGGGCAGATTTTTCTGCTCGGTTTGGTTGGTGGTAGGGCTTGTTTTAAGTCCGTCTGGCTAGCTACCACCATCTTACCTAAGTCTGTCGCCATAACAACAATGTTAACAGCATTGTTGTGTTCCGGCAGTTAGAGGTAAGATAGCCAGTTCCTCCGTGGTTGAGGATTCCGGGTGAAGCTCGCTTCCACCTTCGGCCTGATCATCACTTACCATCAGGTGAGATACAGGCCAAGAGCTTCCTCGTTGTGGATAAAAAAAAGTCAAAAGTCATACTGCTACCAGTAAATACAAGCTAAGTAGGTGAAATATGACAGATGCGCGGCGACTTACGCCATGTGCGTGCGCTCACACAAAATGCAAAGCTCAGTTTACGCCTCCCGAACTGTATTTTTAACTTAATTTATGCTAAAAAGCAGCAATATTCAACTTTTTATGGGTCTCACTCAACAAACATTATTAATTTAAATAAGGGTTCCTTGTCAGCACTGCGGAACCCTAAAAAAACTATAGGACCAGTATACGGCAGGTCCTTGAACCATAAATTGAATGTGGCTGCTTTAGAGATTTAGTCACTATTTATCGTGGTCTCATACAATGAAATTTTAATATTGGCTAACATAACACACACCGTAATAATAATAATTATTGATATCATGGGTGGTGTTGTAACTAATTATTTATGTTCTATGTTTTATTAAGAGCCGCATCAACCATTGTAACATACCATTGTCATTCATTTTATTAATAATCAGATCAAGGGAAAAATTAAAATTACATTTTATGTTAATAATGATGGAGCTGCGGACTCTATAGCTATTTAACTTAGGCCCGGTTTTTTGATTCGTAGTTAAAATAACCAATAGTCAAATTTGACAGATGTCAAATGACAAGTGGTTAAATATCAGAAAAAAATGTTTTTCGAACAATGGTTAGCTTGACTTTTAGTACATTTTTTAACTATTACTTAACATTTTGTTAATATTTAACCATTAGTAACAAAATTTAACAATTTGTTATTTTAACTATGAATCAAAAAACTGGGCCTTAGTGTTCATTTAATGTTTTTTTGATTGGTTAATTCTAGATTTGTGTATAAGTGGATAACTTTTGGAACGAGAGTTTTCTCTGAAATATTACATTTGAATATTTTTTTAAATCTCTTTGACGAAACTCTTTTTAATGCTGTAGGTTTTCGCTGTACCGACAAATTCTGGGAGTAAAAGAAAAATCATAAATCATATAAACTACTACACAATTAAAATCACAGCGAAAATCTTCAGTCTGTCAATTTGACCCTGTTTATGTTATGTGCTCACTTCAAAGATCCTTCAGAAGTTCAAACTGTTACCAATAACATCTAGTTATAAATAATTCTCTTAATTTTTCTATGATTCTTAACAAGGATCAGCAACCAGAAAAAATAGGAAATGGATTTCACTGTCCATTCCTCATATTTTAAGACTTAAGTAATAAAATTCTTCTCGTAGAACTATATTTGCTATAGTCTGGTCTGCGAGCACGTATAATTTCGTCCAATGACCCCAAGCCACCCATCCTTATCGCTCGCGCGTAATTATGTTGCAGTCGCGCTCGCACACTCATTGCGGGCGCCCGTCGCACAGTCGCAACAGCAATATAATTACGCGCGAGCGATAAGGATGGGTAGCTTGGGGTCATTGGACAAAATTCTACGTGATCACAGACCGGGCTTTAACAAACCTCGATCTTTCTCAGAGGGCTAAAGATTTGTGTCGAATTTTGTAAAACTTTGAAGTGTGCACAGAACGCCTCTATCATTGTGCGTCATGTCATTTAATATGTCTGTCTCGCCACACGTCCAGTCACGCCACGTTTCCGCTCTCACTCGCACGCACCATCTCACTCTCTCGCCTCATCTTGAGTAGATGTCGTATGGGAGGCAACGCTTCTTCTAGTTATTATGAAGTTGAATAAGGTGGCATTACAATGATGGAAATTGTAAAGTAATTTAACTCTACCGTGTATTTTTGATTAAACTTCATGGTGAATTACGTTGCCATGAAACAATCTTTATACGTTGTTTATTGGTCATACTCAAATTAAACGTGTATTTTTATGGCCAATAATTCCTGGATATTTCCTATCATTGAATAATTTATTTGACATTAGGCTACTATTTTGAATTGCCACTTTTATAAACATTTTTATATAAGTAAATTAAATTTTGTATCTACCGAAAATATCTGTTCATTTACAAGGACTTCAAGAAAATAAAACCTCGTATTCTCTTTCAAAAAAATGTCCCGCAAAGTTACCGCAAGGCGCTACAAAAATTAGATGTTGTCTTACGATGTGGCCTGATAGCCCATTAGCTGTAGATCCTGGCTACAAAGGAGTTGCAGCGGTGGGAACGAGAGGCGGGAATAGTCCCGTGATAGCCATTAATCCTTCAAGGCCCGCGAATCTAGACACAATAGATAATCAATTGTTATGACATTTATAAATGCCGTCTGGGACTCAAGCGGTTAATTCTATTGATACGTAATGCGGGACGTTTTTCGCGTAGCGAATACGAGGTTTTAATCTATAAAACGATCTACAAGAAGCGTTGCCCCCGTGTGTGTGGCACGAGCGGGCGGCGTGACGTGCGCGTGGCGCTCACGCTGTTCGTCCCGTGCAGAGGGCGCCCGCCCTAGCCGCTAGCGGGGACCGGCCTCGGCGGACGCGGCACTGTGCCCCGGGACTGAAAGTTTTGACAATTGAGCTATGTGGTGTGGTGGGGACAAAGTTCTACTTGATGCTTTCATCAATTTTGACTGATCAAGGAAAAAGTTTTGAATGTTTCTTAACTTTACACAATCTTGAATTTCAACCTTAATATTAAGGCCTTGATCAAAGAAAGAGTTTCAAATATCTTTTTCAAGCATCTTGAAAAATTTTTTAATTTAGTAACTTGAATAAAATCAGAAGTCAGCAAAATTGTTATCTTAATTCGTAACGAGACTCGTAGCGCGTAGTCGAGGAATGCTACGTACCGTAGCGGCCGTAGCGTAACGACTACGATTCCATGCCGTAGCGTAACAACTACGGGTCCATTTACTCGTAGCGGGGCAAGAATCATTGCTACGAGACATTAAGTTCAGTGCCCTCTGCGGTCACTTCATCTAGTAAGATACGGAAAGCTGGCAACCAGTATAAGTGAAAAAGGCTACAAAATAAAAATCCTACAAAATAAAAATGTAGCAAAAATATCAAACCACAATGTCGTACTTTCAAAAAACGCTCCTTACCACACCACTGGCCTAAACGCGCGTGACCGCACCGTGCCGCCCGCCCGCCGCTCCGCTAACGTCGCGTGATCGCGTCGCTTGCCGCAGCGGCCGCGCTACGCAGCCGCGGGCTGGCCGTGCTGCGGTTCCCGCGCGCGCGCCGTCCGTCCATCCTCGGCCGCGACGGCTTCTTCGTCCGCTACGGGGACCGCGAGCGCGCCGCCGTCGCCACCTTCGACTTCCTAGACGAATTCTCCGGCGGCTCCTCACCGGACACCAAAGACTGTACCTAATTAGCAATAAACGCCGAAATTATATTTTTCTATGTAACCGACGTTGGCGTAACGGTTGAGGGAGATTGCTAAGTGATTCCGCTTCTTTTGAACATTTTACGATGTGGCGTGGTTTCTTTTAAGCTTCAACCACCACACCAACGCGTGCAGATCGTCAATTCGCCATCGCCGGCGCGAATGACAGGTCGCGCGGACTGTCATGGGTCGCGCGACCTGTCATTAGCCTATGATCGTTGACCGTCGTGTTGGTGTGGTTGAAGCATTACGCGTTCGAGTATTTTGCTGCTTTATCGAATTCGACATTTCTCAGAAATGGAATCTGGAATGGAAGTTGAGTATGGAATGTTACGCCAGCGGCGGCACCCTTGTGATAGTCGGCGGAGCGTCTAGTGTTGTGCCGCTTCCGCGCCCGTTGTCGACGGCCAAATAGTTTTAAACTTTCTCTAGAACTTTCCTGAAGTGTGAACAATCTTCTTTAGTAAACATTCCACCGTTGAAGAGGTGCTTTCTATTGGCGCTAAAGATAAAGAAGTCCAGTATCGTTATCATCAAGAAAGGTTGTTTACACTTTACACTTTTGTAAGTGGTTCTTAGCGGAGGTTAACGTTTAGTGTAGTGCCCGGCTGCACTCTGCCAGGCTGCAGCTTTTCGACGTCGGCCGAGGCCTCAAGTCGCGTAGTGTCGTAGCTCTCACGTCAACGGGATTTGCATGGGTCAATTTGTAATGAAACCTGTATAAAATATTTGAAAAGGACAGTTTTTTGAGTGAGTGTTTGTTTTTCGATGCGGACTATTTCGATAATTTTGGTTATGAATACGATATTGATATTGACTATGATGTGTACTTAACTGTTAACTGTAAGAAACGTATCAATGCCCGTGTAAATCCTGAGTTAATTAACGACGAAGCACATAGATAGACTTTCGAATTCTCTGTAGATTCTTGTTAGTAGTTGGGGAGACGGACACAAATGGCACCGATGCGTTTGTGCTGAGAATCAAGATGAGATTTGGATTTTGAAATACATGCTTGCGTCGGAGTGGTTTGCGCTTCCTTGCCTCCATATTCAGCCAGTGGCCACGGTGGTTACTTCCCGCGATGTGTAGCTTGCTTCAAACAACACTGACTTAGGTAAGACGAAATAACTAATGACTAAGTATGAAAGCTGCGGCCTCGAAGTAATGTGATATTTTTGTATATACTGTAAGTCCCACTTATTTTCATATACATTTAAATGGATTACTTTCTAACCGAACGAAGCGTTACTGTTGGGTAAAGTGTGAAAAAGTTCTGTGTTTCAGAGTCTGTACACTAGGCGTGCCACGGGCGTGCGACCGAATCTCATTTTGCGTCCCTTTCACTTCTCAAACTAGCAAAGAGGACGGCACCATTCTGTCACACGCCCAAAGCCACGATCATAATTCGTAGGTACTTATGTAAATATCGATTACGATTTACTTATCGAGCTAGTAACTACTCTATTATTAATAAAGAATAGTCAACTATAACAATCGATTAACATTATTATGAATCCATAAATCGAAGGGTACTAAAGTATTTTAGGTGTATATAGATATTTTGACGTCATTAAACTATTTATTGATTTGTATCAGTTGCGGAGTGTCGATCATTTGTGTATACTTAGGTACATATCATGAATTGTATTATTTCGTAAGGCAACGATCCTATTGTTAGGTGTCGACGAATGTGGCAGGGCTGTGTGGTGTATGGAGTTTTATTTATGAATCTGATGTCAATTTAGATATTTTAACGCTGTAATTATTTTTGTAAATGTAAATCAATTTATTGGCTATCGATATCGATGATGGTCCCCTTACTATTTAAATTAAACAATATTGTGTAATGTTATAATTAAGGTTGGTTTGTTATTTTAATTGGTGACTTGCAATCGTGACACTTGTCACAATCGTCGACCGCTTGTTTGCTTTCTTCTCTATTTCCTTAGGTACGGTTAGAAACCATCGCTGAATTCTGTGTATTTTATTCTTACATGTAGTTACTCTAACGGCACAACCAAAGCGAGGTATGGAGATATTGCCACCACTTGTTACTCTGTGACACTTTTAGTTAAAATAATTTTATCCCAGCTTGTTTGAAATGGAAAAGTTGAAGACAATAAAGGAAGATTTATACCTATTTATTAATATAACGATGTGACGACTCGATCGATGTCTAAAATGTTAATACTTAGACTAAGCTCATAGCGACGGTGAATTGTATTGGAAGTAAGTAATAGAGACCCCCGTGTTCGGATACACACCAGGATATTTTGAATTTTAATCGAATTTATCTGAAAACTTCACATTACATTTTATTTCAAATGTTATTGTTTTGTCAATCAATTTTAATTTTGTCTTCCAATATTTTGATATCCATAAAGCAGATCGCAAATGCTTAACAATTTAATGTATTTTTACTTAATACAGCTGCTCATAAGTTAGGTTTATGTCATTCCTCTGAAACGTTAGTGTATCCGTCCAAATTATAAATAACTTATTTTTTGTTCAGTGTAACGAATAACTTAGTTTTAATAAACAATATAGTTCCATTTTCATGTCTATAATGCACCTACAAATGGGAATCTAATTATTATAATGAATTAATTCATATCGCGGTATGTATCCGGACAGAACACCTGTAATAATTAACTATATTAATTAATTGTAACGAATAATTTGAAAACAATTGTTCTTTGGTAATTATAATTTCGAAAAACTGTAACGTATCTTATGATATATGCAATTCGAATCATATCTCTCATTTGACATAACTTAGATGATGTATACTTTAAAGATTCAACGAATTGGCATGTTATTGTTTATCATCAAATTCATGAAGTTATCTAAACATAACTATGTATTCATTATAAATATTTGTAAGATCCAAGTCGTACTGTGATTGGTAACTACCGATTCGGGGCATATGTTGAAACGTGAATGAAACCCACCTCGGGTGCATGTGTTAGTGCGTTCTTACCTAAGAGATAGAGTATTTGAGATAGGTAGGTACTTTCAGCAGTACAAAATGTGTAGAGTAACAGTATAATTTAATTATCTACTATTACAGATGGGTTCAATAAACGATTCCGTTCCCAAATAAAATAAAACGTTGTTTGATTGCCCCTATCCTTATAGACGACCGTTTGCATTCTACACTAAGTAACTGATTACATACATTCATTGACATTCATAAATTCTAGAAAAAAATCGACAGTTATGCGCAAACGCATTCTCGACGATCGCCATTCACAAAATACACTAACGCCCTCTTCAAACGCCATTTGTTACGTCATAACACCAGGAACACATAAATGTTGAAGAAATGGCGGTAGATTTACAAATTTATTTTCTGAACGATCGCTCATCTTGAATCATTCACAAAATACCCTAACGCCCTCTAGAAAACCAATTTCTTACGTCAAAGTACCAGGAACACATAAATGTTGAGGATATGGCGGTAGATTAATAATTTATTTTCCATCTCTTTCACACGCCATGAAATATTAACTCACTATCTCTTTTCTTCTTCCATTTACCATTCTGTTTAAAGAGATAACAACGGAAGTCGTTTTGTCTCTTTCATACTAGTGGAATTTTGTATGTATGCCGTCTCGCGTGACATGACAATATAGTGAATCTACCGCCCATATCCTTACTAATTCTGCGCTCCTGGTACCTTGATACCATTTCGAACACATTCAGAGGACAAGATTGCGAATTGCGAATTTCAAATGATTTGACAGGAAGCCAGACATGAGTTTTTTTTTTAGTTTGATAGATTTGTTACGTTTGTTATCTATAAACGATGCGATGGTCGCGATGGTGCATATAACTGATGAAACTCAGGGTAAGTGGAATAATCAATAAACCCATAGGTCTTTGATGGGAGTTTATGAGTTTTCATTTGTGACGACACTTGACACTTCTAGAGACCACCTACCTACCGCATATTAAATATACAGAAGGTTCCAATAAAAATAAAAGATGTATGAAATATTAATATAAAAAATACACTCAAGACTCGAATCTCAAAAACCGCACCGCTACACCTTTTGAAAATTAGAAGACAACAGGATCCTTTGAGCAGATCAATAAATTTGACACTCACAAACTATCACTTGTTACGATTAATTAAAAAGTAGGTAAACGACTGAAGCAAAATTTTATTTTTGAGATATTCTGCAAGCTACATGCGTGCAACGAACTTAGAACTAAATTATTGTACCAGCCCGCCCTATAAGTTTCAAAAAATAGTCCAGCCAAGAAAATCTCAATAAATAGATCCAAGTTTCGTCAAAGTACCAGGAAAACATAAATATTAAGGATATGGCGGTAGACACAATTTGTTTCATTGACAGATTATTTTCTGCCCCGCCCCTTTAACACACACCTTTACCGTGCCTTTACAATTGTCATTTCTTTCTATATTATGTGTTTTGTCCTGTTTTAGCATTCATTCATAGTATTTTAATGTTTTCGTACTACCCCCATATCCTCAGCATTTCTGTGTTCCTAGTTCATTTCCGAGGACACAATGTGAGAGCAGGTTTTTGGCACTCTAACGTACTTATTATTATTCTGTGCTCTAAGGCCCAGTTTTTTGATTCATAGTTAAAATAACTAATTGTTAAATTTTGCTACTAATGGTTAAATATTAACAAAATGTTAACGAATAGTTAAAAAATGTACTAAAAGTCAAGCTAACCATTGTTCGAAAAACATTTTTTTCTGATATTTAACCACTTGTCATTTGACATATGTCAAACTTAACTATTGGTTATTTTAAGAGCGTTGTAGCAAAAAGTTGGCGTTCGAATTCTAGGTTTTTATTGCTTGACGTCGCGTAGTGAGTGCGCAAACTGCATTTATCTGTACAATTTCAACGCTGCGTCGACTAAACGATCTTAATCCGTAGTTGTATCGTACCTAAGACAGTACATCATACATAATAATAAAGAAATAATGTATTGATTTTTTGTACTTGATTTTTTCTCAGATCAGACTTTTAGCAAAATCAAGTTACGTAATTAATGTATTTTTTACACTAGTAAATCCCGCGACAAGTTTTTAATCTTTAAATTGAGTAAAGTAATAAGTTGATGGGTTTGAAAGAATTTATGTTTTATTTTATTCTTTTTACAGCATCAAAAGCTTGTTTATGAAAAATATTTACTATTTAAATTTTACTTTTGACTTTTTAGTTTTTATGATGCGGGATGGAAAAATTAAAATTTATTCTGATTTTGTGACGTTTCCGCACATAAATATGGATAGGTTAAATAAATAGAATGAAATGTATGAAAACGAGCGTGCCATTTTTTAAACGTTATCTATAATATCTGTGTCCATCAAAGAGCTCGTAACTAAACATCGTAAGCGCCATTCAAATTATTATCTAAAAGTTAATAATAAATATTTAGTTTTTGTAAATCTAAACAAGTCAGGAAATCAAAGAGGTAAATACTGATATCATTGTGATTTTATAGAATTTATTATTATAAACCACGGTCGTATAATGCTAAAAAATCAGAGGTAACTTTAAGATTTTTATCCATAGAGCAAAATTTATCTAATCGTGTTTTTAAACAGTTATCCCATTAGGTACACATGCGTTCTGTAATACAAACCCATCAAAAACAATACTTGTCAAAAAACCAAGTCTCACTACTCAGTTGTTCTACGGTAAAAAGTTGTGAGATCCATGTAATACCAAGTCCAGTCCAGGAAATCATTAACGTTTTACATAAATATAATGACTTGGCCATCGCATGAAAACATGTGTAAATTAAATTATTTAGTGCGAAATGAAACGAAATTTTGCATGCCTGTGTTTCAGCTCTATGGGAAAACGGTAAGTGAGTAAATTTTAAGTTGCAAGATTTTACAACTCCAGATGTCAAAGAAAATAAAAGCTTGTAGATAGCTTTACAAAGAAAAGAAAGATTTATGAAGAAAATAAAAGGTACTGTCTACGATACATTTGTTAGGCCGTGTTGCACCGTCTTACTTTAACATTGACATCAAAATTTTGGATGTCAAAAATCTGTCTAACATAAAACACCGGTTATTGTCAGTTAGGGTCAAAGTTAGGTGGTGCATCTCAGCCTTAGTGTATTTTAATTAAATTTAATACAAATAAGGATGACGAAAATAATCGATAAGTGATCTCACTCGAATATTTCTTATAGTAGGTATACAAGATGTCGAACAAATGGTTACTTACTGAAAAAGTGCTTCATGAGACCTAGCAAACGGCATCAATAATATGTTTAAGAACGAACTGAATCTATTCAAAAAACCTATATTTCCAGCTTTCATACATTTAATACAGTTACAAACAAACACGACATCAATGGTTTCTGAGAATTCTGAGTGCCTTAATGCCGTCCCCTTTATCTGTTTATTTAGTATTTATTAATTAGTATCTCTTGATGATATTGTAGCAAGTTAAACCTAAAATCATGTCTTCCGTAAATAATTTAAATAAGAATGCAATTTACGAGTTTGTTGTTTGATTATTATATATGTATTACTCATTTAAAAATTTAAATTTAAAAAATTAACACTTCTCATATGGTAGGTATGGCTGGCGGCATACATTTAGTATGAAATTCGGAAACATTGAATTTTCTCATAGATCCAGTTACCTTTATTTATTTATCTTTGACCTATTTATTGTTATTGTTTTAAAGAGCTCATGAAGCACTTACAGGAACAGTTAACAGTTTCTCGATATCTTGTATAATTAAAAATCAAGTGAAATCACTTATCGTTTCCACCCTGTACCTATAATTTTAAAAATAAACTCATTTTATACGTTCATTTGTATATAAGTATTATTAAGTATCTACAATACAAATACCTAACCAACTTAGTTGACGTTTTATAAAACTATTTGTCTAAGTGTCATCGAGCGACCGCTGGTGGATTTGCCATTTACCTGACCTACCCCTTTATTACTAAACGTTTAATATCAGATGAATAGTTACGCACCAATTTCTTTCATTCAGTCGTCAGTAATTGAACTTTCGGAAAAACATGACGAAGCGTTGTGTGACCATACAGACGCTATTCAACTTTTATTAGTAAGGAAGAGTATATTTTATGTTGGTAGAAACACAATAGCATAGACTAATGTTTTGACACCCTGTTAAAATTTTTATTAGTCATTTATTTTTTCCTGACCAAACAGATACCATAATAATATCTTTTATCTATTCTACCCATATTCTGTAAGTAAAATAATAAAAAGTTTGAAAAGAAAGAAATTACAAGTCCGATTTACCTAAACAAATAAATTAAAAATACTTGCGGATCAAAAGTACTCAATCATACTACAATTTACGAAAAAATCACGCGTGACGCATATACGTCAGTGGGCAGTCAACTGACATAGACCCGGCGTCTACGAGTGCCAAAGCACGACTGATTTATGCCATTTGATGCACCCGATTTTATAGTATTTTCAAATTAATTTTTCATTTGAAGATTGAAGATAGATATTTTTTCTTTTTCACACAATAATAGTACTATGTTTCTTCTTAAGTATAAAGTAGTTTATGTTGCCAAATGACTTTTAGATTATGAGATGTGACCTGTTTTCTTGCAGTAATTTTCTCGAATTTTGACTATCTTAGACATGATAAAAATGCATTTTAATGAATTAAACATCAAAATTTTCTCAATACACTTTCTTCTTCAGGGTATGCTTATTCTAATGAATACATTCTATCTTCTTACTTAGAAATAAATTTGTTGTAATATTAGTTCAAAGTTGTGCCTTCGCGAGTTACCTGGAAATCGGGCTTTCGAAATTCGCTGTTTTCGTAGGCAAAAATCCAATTTGAACGAGATTTTGTCAATAGACATTCCGGAAAAACGTATGATAATTACGATGGTATAAGTCAAAAGAAGCTATAACAATAAATTATATGACTAAAATCATTTCGAAATCTGCCAAATTCTCGATTTCTGCATGAAAAATGTGACAACGCTCTTAACTATGAGTCAAAAAACTGGGCCTAACAATAAAAGTAATCTCTGAGAAGATTATACCAAAATGGCGAGTGAAAGAACCTCACTTTCATACTTTACTGTTTCAAAACTGGGAATTGGACACAGTCGAGGGAAAGATTCCTAGCCACCGAACAACAGATACTTAAGACGAACGTTGGACGTGGGGACGTGGGTCCAATGAAGATGCAGACAGCCATACGAGCCATAGAACCATGAAGTTCCTGCAGTGGTAATTTATTGAGATAAATGGTAAGTACTTTCTAAAGTAAGTATGAAGTAATTATGCATGTAATTATGTAGTATGAAGTAAGTAAAAGAAATTGTTTTTTTTTAGTTCTAATTTAGTTGGAAAATTACACAGTTCGACTTCGACTGTTTGCTTTAAACATAATTATATTTTTGAGATATTCTGCAATCTACGTGTGTGCGTCAATACGTGCAACGAACTTAGAACTAAATTATCCTTATCCACTGCATCTCTACCTGGTGGAGACAGACCCGATAAGTTTCAAAAAGTTGGTGGATATTTTGTTAGCCATGGACCTATAAAAACACATTGTAAACCACTTTTCTTTCACGACTATAAAAATATTTTAGCAATTTAATTCATAAAACCAATTGCGTACATTTAAATTAAAGTTTGTTTACACTTTGACAGCAATAGACTGACATGCAAGGTGACATGTCAATGAAGTTTTCAGTTACTGTTGCCATTAAAAGAAATTAGTACCATTAGTTTTCCGCAACATGGCGAGGGTTTTTATGTTCCTGGTCAGGCTATATGATAAATTATTTTATTTCTATAGTATGCGTAATAAACACCTAAAAAGTCTTAAAATTATAGATTTCCCACTTTTCGGGTAATTTTCCCACGTAAATAACTGAGAACACTGGCCTTTGACGTATTATTTTGTCGGGTGATTGACATTTGATTTTAATATTTTAATGTTTATAAAATCGGGGAAATAAGTGATTAGATTATTAGTTTACCTGTGAAATGTGATTCCTTGATTTTTGATCGTTCTATCAGAACGGTTTTTGCACAATTTCACCACGCAAGACATGTCGTATTTGTGTTTTTTTTCGCCGCGTAAATGTGTCAACAGTGTGAAGTTTGCACTCGAAGTGGTGTATCAGGGTATGAATGTGTGCGTGCCGGCCTGTACGTACAGGCGAGCTGGTATATCCTAATGTCACAGTATTTTGTTGATGAGAATCCGTCCGACTTTTTTTATAGGTCCATGTTGTTAGCCAACAAAATCTCAATGAATAGTTCAAAGTTTCCCTAAAGTACCAGGAGAACATGAATATTAAGGATATGGCGGTAGACACAAATTGTTTCATTAACAGATTATTTTCCGCCACGCCCCTTACACACACATCTTTACAATTATTTTAATTGCTATTTCTTTCTATCCGTGTTTTGTCCTCTTTTAGCATTCATTCATAGTATTTTAATGTTTTCGAATACCCCCATTTCCTTAGCATTTATGTGATCCTGGTAGTTTTCCTGTAATTTATGAATTTCGAGAGCAAACAATGTGAGAGCAGGTTTTTGGCACTTGAACAATAACTAGACTAAGAGTTAGTGAACGCCAGACCTACGTCATTTTATAAAAGCTGAAAGTTTGTCAGCGTATGCTCCCAATATAGGATATAATGTTGGTGAATTATGAAGTTTGGGTCGTGGTGGCTTTGGGAGCTACCCTAAAAAAACTGTCTTTCAAGGAGTTGGAACTGTCAAAACTGTCTGGCTGTTGGGGAAAATACTTCTAATTATTGTCCAAATATTATACATAAAAATCAGATTTAATGGTATAACGTTAGTAGAATTACAGTCTTTTGAATATACAGAAAAAGCCACCGTAAACGTTAGACTTACGTTATAATAAAAAATCTGATTTTTATGTATAATATTGGGGCAATAATTAGAAGTATTTTCCCCAACAGCCAGACAGTTTTGACAGTTCCAACTCCTTGAAAGACAGTTTTTTTAGGGTAGCTCCCAAAGCCACCACGACCCAAACTTCATAATTCACCAACATTATATCCTACATTGGGAGCATACGCTGACAAACTTTCAGCTTTTATAAAATGACGTAGGTCTGGCGTTCACTAGCTCTTAGTCTAAACCATTTTGGTTTAGGCGCATTATGTCAAGAGGCGGGCGCGCGCGAACGGGTGAACTTTTTGTCGCCGTGCAGTTGGCGTTGAATACAACATGCACCATGGAGGTCCTATTAAACTTAGAGAAACATCAGTGGTCATTCGGTGAGATTGGTAAGTAAATACTTTCCATAGAAGTATGCATGTATAAAGATATGTAAATGAATTGTTCGGAGAATTGCACGGATCAACAGTACAGAAAATAAATGCTCTTGTCAGAAGCGCAATGAAAACACGAACGTGACTAAGTTTGCATAGTGCCCACCGGAGCGAACGAACGTTATCTGAAGCACTGTGCCTGTGCAGCTACCCGCATCATTGTGCCCTTTGACAAACGTCGAGCGTTAGTAGATAACTCGGAATTTCAAGGAAAACAGAATCGCAAGATTCGCAAGCCTTTGCCAGCGTAAATGTGACGGCTATTTACAGAAAATGATTTTCTGGTAAAAAGTATTAAGATATTTGGCAACGAATTTTGGTATCTAAAATATGATGCTATTTGCTGTTGTAAGTTACGTAGGACTATTTTTAACGTCGTGTTTAAGGGTGACAAACAAGTCAGCTAATGATGCAACTGAAAAAAAAAAACACTTTAATTACTAAGTACTTTAAAGTAAATAAAATGGTTACAATACTCACTGATCTTGTGACGTAATAAGTCCCAGAAGTAGGCACCTGTAGTTAAAGTTATGTCAGCCATATTTCCGCCGCCCCTAACCAGCCTGATTAAAGGACTTGCCACACTGGATGCGGTCTACGGTCAGTGGGTCTAACTAAAGCCTGGTCCGTGAGCACGTAGAATTTTGTCCAATGACCCCAAGCTACCCATCCTTATCGCTCGCGCGTAATTACATTGCTGTCGCGACTGTGCGATGGGCGCCCGCAGTGAGTGTGCGAGCGCGACAGCAACTGCAGCAAAAGTGCACTTTTTGATCGAATCGAAAATCGAATCTGTCAAAACTCCATACAAAAAAGGCCTTTCGACCACTTTTCGACTGGTACGCGATTACCTATAATGTGCACTTTGTCTAGACCCATAAGTCATACATTATACGGGCTGCATTCACTTTGACCTGACCACAGACCGAATCTAGTGTGACAAATCCTTTGTAAGCCATTATTGACTCTCATAACTACAAACCTGAGGTTAAAAAGCCGATTAGTGTAATGTCCATCGTCCTTCACCGGTTATCTGCAGTGCACAGGTCGGTTCCGCTGTGAGCAACCGTGCAGGTTTTATCCAAAAGCGTGACGGTGTGTTACAGACTACAGCTCATTTGAATAACTATTTAATATAATACAATTCGAATATTTGTTGCCATGTTGTCACAATGCCAGCTAACGTGTGGTTTTCTATTTAAATTAATTTCAATATGAATGTCGCTCTGATACTTTTCATAACTATAAAATAGACTACCTACTGCATAAACCGGCTCTGTGATCTAGTGGTAATAGCACCTGACTCAGGCCACACTCAGGCCCAAAGGTCCCCATTCGATTCTAAGTGGGGGTATTTTTTTTTTGTTCCAGCAGTTACGATAAGATAGGATTAGCTTTATTACCTAATATTAGGTAATCGAACAAATATCTAAAGTTGTTATTTTATTGAACCTAAATGTTATAATAATATAATTATTTAGATCACTATCTGACACAATCGAGTAATAATCTGTAGTTATTAGTTCCATGAATTTAGTCCTATTGTCCAACATGGAACTTTTCATGACATTAGGTATGTATGAAATAGAAATGGCTTTTTAATTATACATTCAGTTCCTCGAATGACACTAAATGATAACAAACATGAAGGTCTTTTAGTAAAACAAATCAAAATTACAATATTTATGCTCTGTATTGTTAATACCTAGATAGGTATTAACCTAACAAACTACTGCTAGTTTGCCTCAATTTTTATTTTCTGAGTATTCTGAGGGAAATAGCAATAAAACCAGCCTAGTTCATTGTACTCAAAGTCTATCCAGCCCTGATCTTGACAAAAACTTCAAAATCTTATTAATTACTGAGCAAGTCCTCGGAAGTCCATACATAGCAAACTTTTGCAACTGTTTTCAGTCCTTAACTCTGAACAAGACAATCAAATTTCAACACAAGAATTTCAGCAATGCGATGCTGAAGACCAACTTTAAAGTTTTGACATGAAAAATCATAAGCCTAAGCGACAAAATACGCATGTATGGCACACTGCACACATAAAGTATGATTTCAGATAGCACTTAAATTTTACGTGAATACCTAGTTTCAAACGTAAAATCGTTACAAAGTTCACTACCTACTTTCAGTTGGCGCTAACGCGTCTGTAACTTCAGAACAAGAACGCATGGGTTACTTACAGGGAGAGCTATGCTAAAAAGAAGAAATACACAATTTAATAATCATATTCACTGTATAATTTAAAAAGCCTATGCAATTTGAAAACTAACCTACGATATTCAGACTAGTTGCTGTGATGCCATTAAATATGTTTGTGATGTTTAGTATTTATGAAACTTCACATAATTCACGTAACACGTTGTTCACACGTCAAATATCTTCCTTTCTCTTGAAGTTGAGGTCTGAAAACAAGTGGATTTATGTTAAAAAGCTAGTTTATGAAAATGTTTATTCCTAAGAAAATGAGAAGAAAATATTTATCGGAAACTTCAGGAAATTCGTTTAGATAATGTGGTGACTAAATGGCAATCATTAATCATTATATTCGTCATAATAGTCCACATGCATAACATGATAATGAACCTTGACGTCTGAATGCGCAAACGCACAAGTAAATCAATCAAAACTTGGCTCACTTACATAACAATTATGCTACTATGTATTATTAGAAAAACATGAATCGCGAGATTTTACTGGATCATCATCGTATGTCTATCACCAAAATCCTCCCCAGGGTACAAAATGCGTACCTCTTGCGAAAAAAGGCCTAAAGTAACATCAAAAACAGTAATTAAAAAAAGTTTCATTAGTTATTATTAGTAAAGAACTCGCACACACAACTCATCACACACCACAGGTTAAAAATAAAACGAATACAATACAGTTAAAACATTTATTAAAATAATTAAAAATAAATAATTTTGTCATGACAGTCGTTACCTCAAAAAATCACAGACACCTTTGAAAAATATAAACAACATATCAATTTGTTCAAACGAATCAGTTTGATAAGTAGTAGATAAAATCTTAACAGCCAATTTGAGTACAGAGAAATGTCGTTAATTTAGACCTGAAATCTAATAACGAACTAAATCAATTCGATAAGCTAGGCAATAACAATAAAACAATGGAATGACGTCAAAACAGTTACCACTCTGTTAATAGTTTTCAATCTTACGTTATTTGAAAAATATTTTACGATCGGCCATTTGTTGATTAATAAGGCCCGACTTCTCATTCGCCAGATAACTTTTATCTGGAGGATACAATTGTCTTTTTCAAACATTTATACCTACAAACGATTGAAATTGACAATTGAAAAACTGGCCTTTTAAGTAAAATCTCTATTCCAGTCTCCAGTCTATTCTATTCGGCTTAAATTGATACATGAATCTAACTATTTAGTAAGATTTATTTAGAAAAAATAAAAAAACGACATAAAAATGTACTGTTGGAGTTGAAATAAATACAAAAAAATATTAAAAACTCCTACTCTGTCTACTCTATCATCTACCATAACCACGGTAATACTATCTATACAGTATTCCAACTCGGCCATATTTTTCAAATAAATGTCAACAGTCGCGCGGTACGTCACAGTATGACAACATGCGATAGGGCTGCCCACCTACAGTACCCAGTTTAATTACATCTGCCTAGAATTTAGAAAAATTAGAATTTCTATCTAGTTTTGTGATTGTATTTTTTTATTTAGTTAGACACAAAATACTTTGTGAATGGAATAGGTTAAATATGTGTGTTGTTTTGTGATTAGTAGATTTAATTTATTTAAAACTACTTAAATAATTTTGAAACTTTAATAATCATAATGATCTGTGACGTTAATTTCGGGCGAGCGAAGTCTTGGGCAAAAGCTGGTTTAATACAATATAATTTTTATTTCAAATCAAACTGACTGAAAATGAAAATTTGACTAGTTTTTGACCAATTTGACCGTAAATGACTGTCAGTCGAATTCAATCAGTTTTGTTATTTTTAACACTTGGCTACCGACGTCCATTCGGCACATTCGCGACATCCCCGACTTTTGCATACCGAGCGCATACCGAGATTTGAATTTCGAAAGAAAATTCTCGTTTCGTCTGTTTATATGAAGTTACAATACTGTATGATATTATTACCGTGCCATAACTGTTTAACAAACTGTTTGTTTTGACAGTTTTAATTTTTCTAAACAAACCTACTAAAATAATAATAAATAAAATACCTACAAACAACTAAGTTCACATTGGCAATAAAGGGCAATATTCTTCAAAAAATAACATCGAGACCTGGGGCATATTATAATAATGGAGAGCACATAGCCACTTAGGGGCCGTCCATATATTACGTCATTCTNGATATTGATGCTTTTTTTTCCGTTCCTCTAAATCTGCCGGTGTGTGTACTTCGATAGCTTATCTAAATATGAGTTCCCCAGTGTCGTCCAGGCACAACACAATCAACAAAACACAGAAACAATCGAACAAGTACCTTGTCTGCCGCCGCGCTGCTGGTAGGTACTCTGTAGGACGCCGCCGGCCGGTAGTTAGGGCTTCGCGCGGTGTCTTCGGTGGTTCACTTGAGTCACTAACTTCAAGCAAAGTACGGTGGAGGCCTCACATACAAAACATTTCCAAAAGGTCACCAAATTTCACATTTCCGTTGGAGCACACAATAAGCGTGGCACTCGCGATGCCGGCCCAAACGCGAGAGGACGCGTTGCATAGTTTTCGTTCGTTTGCCGTCGTGGAGCGCGGCGCTGCTGTAGTCGCGCGCGCTCGCCGTGTAAGTTTTGGCGGGACGGAGTTGGCGGCAGATTTAAATAGGTCCCGCGCAATCGTACCGTGCTCATTAAAAGCATGTGTGCCTGAACACAAGCATTAGCCCATCTTAAGGACCTGACTGTTTAACTGTTTAGCTAAGCATTAGATCATCTTAAGGTTAATTCTGGGTTGTGTAAAAGCGATTTATAAAAGCCTATCTGCAGAAACAAATTTAATTCCTCTAGTCGTCTTCCATCACCGGGAAACCAGACGCAGGTAGCGTACCATCTTCATTATCACAGTCCACCAGCTCGCACTAAGCGTTTCGCTAACTCTTTTATAATGCTCTTTTACTAACAGCTAGGGACTGGAATTCGCTGCTTGCTGTGTTCTTTTTCGAATACTATAATCCGAGTAGTTTCAAGGCAAGAGTGAATAGGCACTTACAGGGCAGATATGTACCATCCTAAACTGCATCTCACTTAACATCAGGTGTGGTTACAGTCTCTCAGTCAATACCTGCTTTGTGCTGCATAGTGACTGAGTTTTTTTATTCATTTCTTCTCAGCACTGTCCCATTTATTGTCCCGAAGCAGTCGTAGGTTTAAAACTTCTAAAAGCCTTCTTGCAAAAATAAATGAGTTTTTTTTACATAAAAATGGCTTTCAATGATACGTGCCTCATCCGTTAGTCCTAAGTCTGCGACGACTAGTGTGGCCAAGGGTTTGCTCCTCATTCTTTGTCTATGCTTTATTGTCCGCTATTAGTTGCGGGCCATTGTGCCTTTCTGAATTGATCACAACTTCATAATATTTTTGTTTATTTACAGTTTGTTGGCCGCACGCGACTTAGGATACATAAGACTATTCATAAGGGATTAATTTACTATGTAGAGTTTACTATGGTAGAGTCAGGTAGCTCAGAATGCGTCATCGTTATCATTATTTCAGCCACAGGACGTCCACTGCTGAACATAGGCCTCCCCCAATGATTCCCAGATTAGAAAGTTGGTAGCGGCCTGCATCCAGCGCCTTCCTGCTACCATTATTACAAACTTTTCATCGGCCGATGTTTTACAAATCGGAGTGATTTGAGTATTTTTTTACTTATTTATTCTGACTAGCGGCCGCCCGCGACTTCGTACGTTGATATTTGTAAAATCCCGTCTTAGTGAGCACCTACATTCTAAACCTTTCGCTTTTATAGATATAGATTAACAGCCTGACCAAACTATTAGCTGACTAAAGTGTGTGAGGTCTCTTATAAAGGACTCTACCCATCAAGCCCGAAAACAACACAGCGGCTTGGTGTCGGTGACTTTACTTAAAAAAAATCATGTTGTATTTTCTATGACTTTTGACAACATGTCAAATGTCCACGGCTTACGACGGCGCGGCGGCGTCGGGGTTTATGTCAACGACTTATGTCAGCAGATCGGCGGGTATAGTGTGTAGTGAGGTGTAGACTAAGAGCTACGAGTACATATTTTGTTTGCTGACCTTTTGATTCATACATTATTTTACATAATAGTATGTAAAAACTTCGCAAACAAACATAATTCACACTTCGCTATATTTCTATTTTTCTTCACGCCAGATCCGAATCGATAACGTCTGTCATCTCATTATGTTATCGATCTGCTGTCAGTGTCAAATTGACACTTACACTCACGTTATGCGATTGACATGTCAATTTACACTCGGACGCTCAGCGCGTTCGTTTGGAAAAAATGTGATATATCTGTAACCAACATACTAAAATGCCAGTCAGTTTAAATTGTAACCTTTTAGCTTTGTCTTAAGGTGAATTTTTGAATGTTTGGATGATGTAAGACAAAATTAAGTTCAGTAGCAATAGCCAGTCGATCGAAAAGATCGAATCTAATCGAATTCCAATCAGGCAAAGCAGAAACAATGTTATTGGGTTGTGATGTAATTTGGGAGGAGAATAATATTTATATTTGATTAGAAAATACGAAATAACTTTAGATTTGTAAAGCCTAGATGGATAGTCTTCATACTTGAGAAGAGCTTTGTCTAAAGTGAAGCAAAAACGTCGTCCACTGTCATCAATAGTCATCATGGACTCCACATTCCAAGCCCGGCAGCTTGGTGTCGGCGTCTTTATTTCTAAAGGATCATGTCGATGACGATTTGACTTTTGACGACACGTCCAAAGTTGACGGCTCATGTCGGCAAATCGGCGGGTTGATGTGTAGACTGCATTACATACGTTTTCAGTGCCTCTACAGTCCTATCAACTTAAGCTGAGAATTGCATTTGTGTGAGTGATCGCCAAAAGTACCGTTAGTAAAACACATACAAATAATTGGGGATGTTGCCTGGGTCAAAAAGCAAGAGTTTTAATTAGTCCGTCAGTTAACTTATCAAAAAATACTCTACTCGTATTTTTCACTTTTTCAAACTAATGAAAATTTAAAGAGATAAAGCGCCCCAAAGTTCATAAGAAGAGGCCCGTGACGTCAACGCTTGCTTAAAAATGCCGCACGTTGTGACGTCGTGCGCAACTTCAACGCACCATAACTATGTAATTATTTGTTAGATTGACAAATAAAATTATACGTGTCCAATATTTTTTGATATTAAACATTACGGACTAAAAAAATTTTTTTAGGC